CTTAAGGCTACCATGTGTATGTCATTAACCCAACAATTGAAAGGTATTTAAAATATTTTCATGACAAAGTGCCTCCTGCTAACACTAGTTATGAAAATAAAAAGTACATTGAGGCAAAAAGGGAAAAGAAGAGACCAGTGCTCCTAAAAAGGAGGCTTTATTTTTGGCAATAAAAATTCAGAGCCCCCCTTCCTCCCCCCCCCCAACCCCTCAGGTTGATTCATCTCTCATTCAAATTTAAACCGCACAGAGAGGCTGCAACGAGCCCAGAGAAGATTGATATGCACCGCGCTCCGCACGTGCTTCAGCTCTTTATTCCGAAGTCTGGCACGATGATGTCGGGTTTTGTGATATTATTATTTCAATATACAATAAACAGGGTTCGATATAAAAACAGTGCAACGCAAGGCCCCTTTAAAACACCCCACAAATTGTTACTATAGCGCTTTGAGAGAAAGGGAGCGAGAGATGCACAATGCAGGCGCGGAACTTGGCAACCTGTAAAAGTGCCCAGTCGAAAATTACTAACAGCTGGAGATGACAGTTGTTTTAACAGCTGAGCTGACAGGATTAATTTAAATGCACTGAAATCAAAAGTAGGTAACACCTGTTTAGTCTTCCAGGGCCATGCGACAAGGTAGGCCAAAGGAAAAAAGCGGCGCCTGGGCGAGCGTGTGTGTGCACGGATGGGTGCGCGTGCGTGTGTGCGCGCGTGTGTGCACGGATGGGTGCGTGTGCGCGTGTGTGCGCGTGTGCGCGCGCGTGTTTGTGCGTGCACGGATGGGTGCGTGTGCATATGTGTGTGCGCATGCACGCATGGATGTGTGCGTGTGCGTGTGTGCGCACGGATGGGTGCGTGTGCATGTGCGTGCGTGTGCATGTGTGCATGGATGTGTGTGCACGATGTGTGTGTGCGTGTGTGTGTGTGCACGTGTGTGTGCACGGACACGTATGTGCATGCAAGTTATGTGCATGCAAGTGTGTGTGCATGCAAGTGTGTGTATGTGTGTGTGCATGTGTGTGTGCATGGACATGTGTGTGCACGCGAGTTATGTGCACAGATGTGTTATGTGTGCATGTGTGGGTGCATGCGAGTTATGTGCACGGATGTGTGGTGTGCGTACCTGTGTGTGTGCTTGTGTGTGTGCACGGATGTGTGTGTGTGCGTGTGTGTGTGCACGGGTGTGCATGTGCATGGATGTGTGTGTGCATGGATGTGTGCGTGCGCACAGATGTGTGCGTGTGCATGTATGTGCACGGATGTGTGTATGTGCTTGCATGGATGCATCTGTGTGCGTGTGTGTGCGCGCGTGTGTGTGCATGTGTGTGTGTGCATGGATGTGTGCGTGTGCACGTGCGTGCACAGATGTGTGAGTGTGCACGTGCATATGTGCACGTGCACGCACGTGCGTGTCTCCCCCTGCTCCCCCCGGCGGAGGCCGGCCGGCCGGCAGAAGAGGGCGACGGACCTTTGAAGGCCGGGTGCGCGGGGGAGAGCGGTGGCTCGTCACACGGGCACAGAGAAGCCAAGCCCCGTCAGCTTGCAACATCTGGTTCCCATTGTGCCCACCCTCCTGCTCACCCTCCTTCCCCCTTCCCTTATCCAAGGTCTTTGACCCAAACCCAACAATGGATAAAGATCACCGGATTTTAAAGCTGCAAGTTCTCACTGCCGCATCCCGGCGATCCTCCTGGCTTAATTAACCCACTCCCTTTGAGCTCCGAGTCACTGAAGCTCCCACGCGCTCCCTCCCACCCGTCTCTTCCCCAGACTAGAAACAAAACAAAAAATTCCTCACCTTCTTGCCATGCCAAAGCTTGTGACTCGCGTGTCCGTAAAATAAATAAATAAATAAATTCCACACGGCACGCGAGGGAAAGCGTGTGAAACGGCAAGGAATTCTCTGTGTGGCAGGCAAGGAGGGTATGATTTTATGTTTGCCTCTACGGTTACGATCCTCTACTCCGGCGTCACGTGCGCGCGGCGTCCTGCGCCATGAGGACTGCCACCCCGGAGGACCACAGCTGGGTGTCCCCTCACAGCCCTTGCTCCAGGTAAGAGCACCAAGAGATTCAACAGGGAGAACTGTCTGGTGGAGGAAAAGACAATCTAGGAGGAGGTATGGAAACAGTATCTCTTCCTAGCACTACACCTACCGCACAAAGCTAGAGTGCCAACTTCACGTTGCACAACAACCCTACAAGCCCAACGCCGCAGCTGCTCCGCTTGCAGAAATCCCATTGAGATCAAAAGTGAGCTCTGCCTGTGAGCAAGCTACTGAATTCTGGCCAAAGGCTTCCAAACTCAACCTGCAATCTCATTTCTGGTTAGGCAGACAAATGGGGCTGAGTTGTAACAGACACCTATTTCCAGTCAGCTTGTTTCCTCGGACCTACGTCTAGTCCTTGCTTCGAAGTAGGACCGCTGTCGGGCTGCATCTCCCAAGCAGCAATTAAATTTCACCACTGCGAAGAAGTACGCAGTTACTCTTATCAAACAGGCTTTAAAAACGCAGAACTGGGACACAGAGAATGTGTTCAGGTGGAAAATCTGTGGGGGGAAAAAAGAAAAAAAAAATCGAAACAAAAACCGGAAGAAATTGCATTCTCTGGCTCTGCTCTGTGTCTTTAGCCACAGGACCAATCCTTCCTCCTTGTATTCCTCCAAGAATGAAAAAAATAGCCCTACAGTTGGTACGATGATGCTGCAGCTGTACACTTCACACAACAAAAGGCTGTGTTCAGCTCTTCCTTCTCGTTCCATAACCCTTCAGCGGGACGAAGGTGAACTGAAAAGCTCCCACGCTCACTTCAGCTAACTGCAAGCCTATCCACCGCGCTGTCACATCAGCATCAAAGAATGGCTGGCACCTTCAGCTTTCGTAGTTGAGAAAAGAAAAAAAGCGTTCAATAGAACGGTTCAGAAAATGTTTGATTCATTGATATCAAAAGCTGGAGAATCACAGATATTCTCGGTTACAGCATTAACCCTTGCCAGAAAGAAGAAGAAAACGAGCCACGGTAGCTTCCTCTTCACCGCAGGTTTCAGCGTACTCAGCTCCCATTCTCTCCGCGTTTCCAGCCGCTAAAGCTCCCACACGCTCCCTCCCACCTTCCTCCTCCCCAAACAGCACGGAGTTTCATATAGGCTAATTCACCGTGCCAAGAAAAACAGAACAATTCTTAACTAAGCTGCATCTGTATTTACTCATTTCAGAATTTCAAGTCCTCTTTTAGCTTTTATTGTCCAGGTAAAACTATTTATCTGGACAAATGTAAATATTAATGGCAATTCTGACGGGAGAAAGAAGACCCAAACACACCTCTCGGTGTAGGCCCTGTATACAAGGAACTTAGCTAAAACCACAATCAGCACCGGTTTACCCAGACAAGTTCAAGTCTGGGTCTAAAATTGTCTTCATTTGGTTTCACAAGAAAATGCCAAGACACTTCAACACTCAAAGTCACATGAACCTTTCTCTAGAAGGGTACACTTTGGCTACTGAATTAATTTTAATGAAGCTGTGGAGTGCCTTGTGATGGACTGTACCTGAGTTTTACTACCGCAACCTGGCCTGTACGTGAGAGGATTTACTGCACGGTGCCGCGTTGCCCATCTTGCCAGCTTTGTATCCAGGGCAGGAGAGCTATGCCAAAAGACAGACATCGACATCAGTTCTCACCTAGTTTTGGGTAGGAAATGGAAGAACTTCAGTCTAATGAAATGTACAACTTTCTTACTTGCTGAAGCACTGAACTTTTCCAGCAAATGAACCTAGAGATTCCCAATACGTTACTAAAATATTGGGCTAATACCAGAGGGCATTTTCCCTGTTATTTTTCACGTCCATGAACCTCTGCACGTCTGGACTCTGGCCAAGTCTGGAAACAGAAGCGCCAAGGAACATGCGAGAGGCTGTTCTCCTGACAATTCCAATTTGGCTGGTTGCTGGAAGTGACAGAAATCCCTGGAGAAAACCAGCGCTAACGATAGTTCATTGCCCGACACGCAGACACAAGATCCTTACTGTCTAACACAAATAAAACATCAGGAAATACTTCAAGGATGGGGAAACAAAATTGAAATAAAATTGAGAGAACTTATATTGAAAAAAATAAAGAAACCCTCTATTCCTTACAAACAAACACACACCAAATAAAGTAGCAGCAGCGGTAGTTGTAGTGGCAGTAATAATGATGATGATGATGTCAGGAAGGCACAATCACCACCGACTGTATCCCTACTTCATTCGTACAAGTTGTATAAAAAACTATCTGCACTTCTAAATCATTAATTTTTCATTAATATTTACAGAAAAAAAATTTTGCTTTTTAAAGGGTTTTTCCGAAGTTTTCAGTCTACGGGGCAGGCAATGATAATTGCTGCTCTGTTCTGCTCAATGATAGAGTCCTTTCCCTGTACAAAATACGAAGCAGTTTCTTTCTTCCCTGCTCTTTATTTCTTTACACAACTCAGAGGCTCAAAGAAGATAATTACAAACAATGCCTGAAGAATGGTTCAGTTAATGTTAATTTATACAACAAACTAATTACTACCAAATGGTAAAAAAATCACATGTGGAAGTTCCTGTCTCCCACGCACACAACTAAACCAGCAGCCATCTGTCTCAGCCTGGGAGCTCTCGGTGACAACCGAGGAAAGCAACGCACAGGATGGATCCAGATACACTGGCTGCTTCATCTGACACAAAATCATGGCATTTAAACACCAGGCTCTGTATGGTGATCTTAGCAGTGGCATTTTTTTCCCTTTCATTTATAAAACAAACAAACAAAGTACTGGCATTTATAACTACCTCTCGAGCTAAATTTTATCTCAATCCCAAGAAGTTAAGATGAGGTCTAAAATACCTCCGTCTATCAGCTGTAATTCTTACTCCCGCCAATTTCTATACAATAGTCGTTATGTTGTCCTTAACATACTGCCTGTCAGAAAGCATGAGGTGAGACAGTCTTTGAATCTGCTTACAGTATGTTAGACATCACGATGGAAAAACGTGCTTTTTTTTTTTTGTTTCAACATTCTTTTCACAATCTGAGAAAGCAATTCTCTCCAAAACCTGGAAAAAGCAAAGTCAGTACAATTTTTAAACACTTTTATGGGGCGCTCATTAAAAGCTATCAGGGAGAAAATAGCTGGGGAGAAATCCTGAAGCATTTGTTCAGTTTAAAGTCTCACTGAATTCAATGTGAGTGTTACTTTATTGAGGACTTCAATACCAGATCCTTTACATGAATAAGGACCTTGGCATTTTGACTGTTAATTATTCTCTGATTAGCTTGCATCTAGTGAAACAAAATAAACACAGTATTATCCCCTAAGCTCTGTTCAAGAAATCTCAACTCCAATATTCTCCTCTCCCTGTGAGATCAGAACTCCAACAGTCATCAAAGAAAGTGCTGTACATGAATAGGAGCGAAATATCAGAGTTTAGATTCACAGTACAGAATTCAGAGGAGAAGGTTTTTTCCCTAACAACAAAAACTTACACATCTTTCTATGTCTGAATGTAAGGCAAAATTATTGGATTGTAGCATGGTCTCTACGTATCTTATTTAGACCAGCCCCCCGCCCCCCGCTTCCATTTATATGAATCCCATACCATTGCCAAAGTGCAGCCTTATGACTTTATTAGAAAGAGCCAAGCCAGGATAAGGTAAAGATGGAAGATCTTTTAGTAAAGACTAAATTTCTATGAACTTGTGTTTCTGAGTATTATATATTATATTTTATATATATACTCTTTTCACAAAGAGAGAATACGTTTCAGATGGCCTGAAATGATCACAGAGGAGGAACGAGTGTTACAGCAATTTCAAACAAGGTCTCTGTAATCTCATATTCATGAAGTAAGAGGGTCATTATTTCTACATAGCAAGAACAGTATCGACAGTTTTAAATGAAGTAAACAAGAAGCAATCACAAGAGAATCTACATAACCAAACAATAATGCCTAATTATTGCTCATTCATAGTCCTTAACAGAATTATGACATATAAAAAAAAAATTACAGGGAAATGATTCTTGCCTACAGCCGAGAGCATAAAATTTTACATAATAAAATATATTCACTGAAGTAAAGGAGGAAGCAGCAATCTCCCTGTTGCTCAGTCCTATTTCACCTAATCTTTTTTTTACCATTAGGTTACATCATCAAGAGCTGTTTTCTATGAATCTTATATGAAACTTAGAATCTTTCATAAGGATTTCACTTTGTCCCACAATGTTTTCACTTTTTTTACATGCACGTTATGAAACAATAGCTACTATTTAAGTTTTCGTGCCTCTTTCAGAGTGAGGGGGAAAACAAAATTACAGTCCCAGTGTACCAAGAACTGGACTTTGCTGTAACAAGTGAACTGCAAGAGCTTTCGACAAGGAGCTGGTGTGTGAAACGAACCACCGAGTGCTGCATCAGTGAGTGGGATGGGACAAGAAAGGAAGCATCATTCACTCCAGCGCGTGTTGCAGAAAAACCTGTATCCGAGGGGATGCTTTGGACATCTTGCACTCCTTGGGCTGTGACTGACATCAGGCCTCTTCCCTCCTCTTTCACCCCAAGTAGCCTCAAGCAGCTCTCACAGCCAAAAGTCTGCCTCTAATTTTAGTTCCTACTCCTGGCACATGTTGTGTCCTAGATCACTGAAAGCCTTGAATTAATACACTAAGACCCAGTATTAAGCTAAAGAACTGACAGCTTTATGGAATGCATTCAGCCTGGGAGGAAAGCTACCTGGGATTGCCTAAACAATCCCAGTGCCCTCTTTTAGTTGGAACAAGATTTTGCAAAAAAAATAAATCGATCAAACAAACAAATCCCCACTAGTATTAGCACTATCCCAAGATTAATCAGACTGCAAAGAAGCATCCTAAGGACGAAGAGAAGGTCTGATGAATACTACAGCACATCTTTTAACCTCCCTTAAAGAGTTATACTGAAAAGCTTACAAAAATTGTCTCCCCATTTCATTTTCCCACAGTGGTGCCTGTTTATGTAAACGCAGAAGGCATCTTTATTCTTCTCTTGATGCTTTTTCACCTGTCTTTATGTCTACAGGGACCGGTCTACTAAAAGAGCTGAAGCAGATGAGTTAAAACATGGCCAACACGCATCTCGTTTGCTTCTAAAAGTAGTCAGGAGCGTGGTGGTTGGTAGATTTAGCCTTATTTCTGGTGAACGTTTATAATGTCGAATATAAGCGGATCAATTGTTAGCAACAACATGTGAGAAACCAAGGATGAAATGGAACTGGCAGCTGAACTCTCCCTCTCTAGCACTTTAATGGCAGTTTGCTCCATGCTATATTTAAGGCATAAGGCCAGGACAAAACCAACAACCAACAAAAAGAGTTTACTTTAGAAAAATTGGGAAAATTTTGCAGTCTGGCAATGTAAAAAAGCACCTCCTTTTTTTCTTCTCTGGGGCCCATTACTTTAAAATATTAAGTAACGCATACCGTGTACCACGTTCCCCCATTCAGTAACCTGTCTAGCAATAAAATACTGTTAAAAATGGTAATGCAGTAACA